AGGCTTTCACGGCGGTGACTATGAAGAAAGCAGCCTTCTGGGATTTGGCACTACATATACACGGTGCCAAATCCCAGAAGGCTGCTTTCTTCAAAATTCCACCTGTTAGAAAGGTAAAGGTTTCAGCTCTCTACCTCGTCATATCCAGGAGCTATTCTCAACTGAAATCAGAGCTCAATTGTGTTACTGCTGGACCATGATGGAATATTCTGTCATATCCAGCAAAAGGGTCAAGGGAAGCAGTAAATGACAAATTTTCTAAAATATTTAAAATCTCCATGCATAAGTACAGCTGAACTTACTTCTTCGAGCATATGCCAGTAAAATGAGCTGTGAAACACAGTTCACCATCTCTTGGATCAAATACGGGCATTTCTTCACTATGTACTGCCGGTCCTTGTCCAGTGTCTCAGGATTTAAAGGGATACGATTGAGATGAGCGTGTAATAAGGCACGCGCCTTGATGGAGTACGTGAAACAGAGTGGGCGCTCTCGATTCTTCTCACTTAAGTTGGGAATCTGCTTAATTAGCTGCAAATACCAAAAGAAACATGTACAGCATGATAAAAAGCAACAGTGCATCCCCACCACCACTCGTCACAGAACCAATGTCCACCTGATTTGTTCAATTTATTTTCAGTAGAAAAATCAGTGTAACATCTATCATTTAGAACTTTGCATGGGAGCACTGCGTTGTGAACACTCATAGTACAGGGTGTATACAAATAATGTACGTAATAGCAATTATTGTGTAAATGGTAAATAAAAATCTTTTTTTCTTCGAGCATCATTCAAATTTTATAAGGGCCAACAGATGAAATGTCATATACATATACATATATGCAACTGAGTAAGAGCATGCAGCAGGTGTCCCTGAGAATCTAACAGATGCTCAACTAATCAAGAAGTTCCCTACTTTTAAGGAACATACAGTTCATCACTATGTTCAGAAGAGCTCATCATTGGGTTAACCTCAGTCATATGATTCCAATTCAGACCCTGACATCCTGAATCTTTAAGCCCCATTTTAATATTAACCTCCCCTCTAAGTCAAGTACTTCCACTTATTAATTATAAAATAAGGTAAAGGTAAAATTGCCTCTGTGTTTAACTAATTAAGCACTATGTCATGAAGGCTTATAGGGGAGTGGACATATAGATACACAATTACAAATTATAATATAATATAATATAAGTACTGGAGAAAGCAGTATGAGACAGACAGAAATATACTTCAATAGCAGGAGATACAATTTTGTCTGAAGTACCACCAAAGTTATGAACTAAAAGCAGCGATTTACTACAAAGATATATCATAGTGAGGGTAAGATAAAACAATAATAAAACCACTTTTTATATTCAGACATGTTTCTTATGGTCAGGATGTCTTAAATTCAAAGTTGTGTTCCATTCAGGCAGAGTAAGTATGGCAAGTCATCCTTACAGAGAAACTCAGACAGACTCTCCTTCTTTACAGTGTGTTTATAAAGGCAAATTCATCCGAAGGCCCTAAATTAATATTATAAATCACACGATAATTTACCAATGGAAAATAAAACTTGTCAATACTGTGCATGTTATGACACAGACCCAGCACCTGCAGTTCCTTTAGTCTGCAAAATTCACAAACATCAAGCGTCATGGTGGCCTGTTTCTCCAGGCAGAGGCAACCAATCCAAATACTTTCTACAACCCAATTATCTCTATATCTACCAAGGCAAGTGCTTGTCGAGTTTCATTTCCATCAGTCAATTATTGCGTGATTTATATTTATTAATCTCGGCTTTCTTCCAAGTGTATCATTCTGTATTACTTTTTCCTTATTGAGAACTTTTCATCATCTAGTGCTTTGCAGGAGACTGTAAGGTAACAGGAGTGTTATTAAAGTTGTTTTAAGTGTCTGTAAATGTTTTGTTACTCCAAATTCTGAATGTATTTTAGTGATAACAGTCATACTTCAGGCTAGATGACAAACATCTGTACTCACATGTGGAACCTCCTCATTGTCTGTTGACCTCTCTACAATTTCTCCATTGTGTTTTTTCTCAAACTCAAGAGAAGCAGCAAGAATCATGATCACTCTTTTCAGAGCCATGGATGGAGTTTTATGGAAGAAATAATAGTACATTTGTGTGGTATCCAGCAGCACCTGTAACCATGTAACCTTTACAGGACAATCTATTGAGATTTGGCTGGCTGTTTATACATCCTTTCATTCCTGTCTGAATTTTTTCCAGTATATGAGATTCATTTATTAGTTTACATGTACATTTTACATCTTCTGATCTAACTGGTTTAGATGGATGATTGAGCACCATTACATTCTTGAATTCACAGAGATAATGTAGATGTTACAAAATGTTACTGTTGCCACAGTTCACTCACGACATAATGCTACTTTCGAATGGCTATGAATTTTCACTCCTCAAAGACTTACAAAACTTAAAGCATATAAAATTCAGTAAGTAATTTGAAACTCTTTATACTAAATCTTTCTTATCCCTAGCTGGCAGTTATAAGCAATGCTCAATTTTGTGTGAGAGGAAAGTTACAAGTGTAACAACTTAACTTTTACTTGTATAATACTGACAGTTTTCATCCAAAGATGCTGTACCTGACTTTACACCTTCAAATACATCTGTTTAAGCTATACAATTACATCTTAGTGTCAGTCCTTCAAAGTACCCAGCGTTCAATTTCACAGATTTTGAAAGACAATATGTGGAACTGATCTATTTTTCCAGCAACTTAATACCATTAGAATTGTTATAGAAAGCTGGAACTTTGAGAATAATTTTTCAAAGAAGTATAAATACCATCTTGAGTTCAATTCCATGCACTGAATGTATCAAATGATAATCATGTGGTGCCATGACAGTAAATGGTTTTCATAATAAATATGTACAAATTATCAATTTATTCCAGTACAGATTAGTTTAAGAAAAACCCAAATAACAAATGATTTTGCTCACGTTCAATAATGATGTAATGGCCGCAGATGTTATGACAATTCTAATGAAGGATTAAACTATGAAAACTCTCTGTTAAATCATAGCCCTCACTGCATGAATAATAAGTTCAGATCTCAGGATAAAAATACCCAAAACAAAAAAAACTTTCGCACTTTACAATATTGAGCGCAGAACACGAATGAGTCACTATCACAGTAATTGCAGAGAAATCCTTCTCTAATTTGTGTTGCCTTCTTGGGCACATTACTATGCAAAATACATTAAAAAGCATCTGTTACTGGTCCAGTTTCTGAGGATGAAACTTTAGAAAATGTCCCAAAATTTGTTCATGTGTTGCAAGAAATTCACAAAAGGAGAAGGCAATCACTTCTAGCAATTAAAATAAGGTGCACCTGTGTTGGTACATACTAATGTGTTTTCTACTGATGGTGTACAATACTCAGGATTGCTTGGTTTCTGGACTTTGTCCATTGTCTGGTATTCTAATAACAAAAAAGGACACAATGTTTCGGAAACTGGATCTGTTTCCGTCCTCAGGTGAGGGGGCAGATACCTATTCTGCTGGGTCCATTAGAAAGAGCTGACCTCAATTACTGGATGTTCCAGAAAAGTTCAAACACATATCAAATCATTATAACATTTGGACCATCTTTAGAAATAAACATGAAAACCAGGCTGAAAAGAGATCTGCAACAGATGGCATACTGTGTCTATAGCATTCCTTGTGAATGTGGCAGAAGCTACACTGGGGAAACAGGCAGCCCTCTATCTCTGTGAACATAGGCATAACCTCAAAGAGAGTCTTCTAAAAAAAATCAATATTAGCCCTGCATGCCTATGAGGAGGGTCACAGGGTAGGCTGGGATGAAACTGGGGTTTTGGAAATTGAAAGTAACAGTAGGTATAGAAAATACAAGGAATAAGCCCATATGGCATGTTTAACGTATCCGATCAGCGAACCCACTTTGGACATTTCTCCCATATGAATCCCTCTTACCAGCGATGTGGTTAGCAAGTCACAAAGAAGACAAGCATGATCTGACAGCTTTCTCATGTGTTTCTACAAGATTTCAGTCCTGGGTATTCTATTTTTATTTCACAGATGGCACTAGTGGTGAGCAAAAATTCACTTCACAACATGAAATTCTACTATTAATCCTATGCATTGGTTTTCATGGACTAGGTTTGTTGCATAAAATTTCCACCTCATTTTCTAGCTTAGTTTCAGGCCTGTTCTAGCTTTATCAAAAATCTTTATTGTACATTTTTCCTGCTTTCTTCCACTGACAAAGTCTGACCTCAGGTGTTTATATAGCTGTAGTTATATTGATATAGGTTAGCCAGTGATTGAGGTTAGCTCTTTCTAACAGACCTAAGAGAGTAGGTGTCTCCCACCCCTCATCTGAGGGTGGAAACACGTTCAGTTTCTGAAATGTTGTGTTCTTTTGTTTCCTTAAAATACCAGATGATGGTCAAAGTAAAAAAAGAAAACAGTAATCCTGAGTGTACATCTGTTTTGCTTTCTTACACTAATCAGTAATGGAGTTCAGGTCAAGCACAGAGAGCCTGAACTACATGAGGTGAAGACACCTGTGCTTTCCTGTCCATGGTCACTCAGTAAACTACTGCTGTGCATTGCTAACAGCGCATTTCCATTTCAACTGAACACTCTGAAAATAACAAAAAGTCTCTTTTAACTCCTGGGAATAGGATATTAACTGAGCTGTTCAAGTAGTATTCAGGATATTCCCTACTGCTATACAAAGGTTCAACACTGTCAATAAAAGCTTTTCACTGGATACTATTCTGAGACAGTTCAAGTACAACACACGCTGCTGCATGTGTGAAATCAAATTTCACATCACATGCTTAACAAACATGTCTAAGTAAGCCATACCTGATCTCCAGAATAGCGAATAGACTTGTACCACCACATTCCAACAACCGTAGGTAATGCAACCATAAACACCAGGGCATAGAGACCCAAAACCTGCATTAAAAAAATTAAATGACATTACTTTTCTTCTGTTCATGCCTTTGGCCACATTATCCATTCCACATCTACACACCCCATTTCTAGAAGGTCAAACTCAATCTGCCCTGTGGTTTTCCAAGTGTCCAAAACTGTATATGCATTTTGATGTCCCACTGCATGCTTGAAGCCTTGCCCATCCCATTCTCTTGATGTAATCATTCTATCACTTCTACATAAAGAGTACAAAAATATAATTGAAATACTGAAGACACTGTTAGTGTATAATCTTTAGACTTTTGTGGATAAAAAGAGTTCGCAGGGTATACTACACCAGAGCAAAAGTCTCCAGTCAAGTGGCTCCCTCAAATTATTTTCCGGGCTTGAAAATTTCAATCTGATTGACTGAGAATTCTGTAGTTCCTCACCCACACAGAATTCTCCTTCTCCACAATCCATGATGGTAAGGCTATTCCAAAGCTCATTGCACCAGGTCCATCCGGGTTTCCATATTTTTCCCAGTTACGACGAGCTTCATCATCTGTTAAGGCTTGGTATGCTAAAAAAACAACAAGATACATTTCATTAATTAACACCATTATAACAAATTCATTCTGTGGTTCCATTAAAAAGTGATACTGGAATTTCTTTAAATTAAGATACAAGGTTTTGCAAATACCAGTACCTGTGGTAGCCTTGATACTATATAACTTGAACCACTTTCATTGACAAAATCCTGTGCAACATAATCAAAAGATGTTAAAAGTCCTACCTGAAAGTTTAAAACAAAATTTTAAGAAGCCTATAAAAAGAAGTTCACTTATTCTGAATGAAGCCATTTTGAACAGATTATAACCTGACATTACATGGGTTCCTTCACTATTAAAAAAGAATAAGAAACAAATATTTTACCTTTTGTAAGTTTCATAAAAGCCTTTTCATTTCCAGTTTCTTTATCAGGATGGAGAATGAGTGAAAGCTTCCTGTATGACTTTTTAATGTCAGCTTGTGATGAGCCCTGGAAACACACATCCATAATTTTTCACTATCTTGAAATGCCTCTTCTTCTACTTTTGATAATATTTCATACCGAAAACATTCAACAAAGCATGGATATGAGCCCTGTTGTCGCTTCACTTCAAAGCCTAAATTAATTTGTAATTTCACCTCATTATATATAAACAAAATTCTGAAAGGCTAATAAAATGGTGAATAAGTATATTTTATGTACAATATTATATTTAAGCATCCTGTTATATGCACACAACTGTACTTCTTTCTACAAGAACTACAATAAAATTGTTGCACTTAAGGCGGAGTTTGTCTCATATATATTATATTTTATGTAGTTTATTTAATGGCTTCCACAAAACACCATACCACTGACGCTTGAAATAAGGATGCTACTGCACTGTCAAGATGTACTGAGTCTTCTTTTTCTTCTCCTTCTATCATACTTACTGCTTCATATGTACTGAGGGATAATAAGTCTCCAATCTCTTCCACTCTCCCACATTTGTTCTTTTCTGATTTCTTCCGAGCTCTTTCCTGTGTTCTTGGTATCTTCCAACACTTGGCTAGACCATCTTGTGCTGGGTCGTCCGTTAGGTTTTGTTTAGTTAAATTTTTATTCTATTTTCTCAGTATATTCTTTTCACATGGCCAAATCACTGTAATATGTTTTTTTCTAACTTCATTAAAAATGTTGAATTACAATTTCTTCTATAAATCTCATTTCTAATTCATTCTTTCTGGCTTTTCCTTTAAATTGTACTTCTTCAGAAAATGTCAAAATCACTACTTGGATTTTGCTTTTTCTTCTTTATGCAAAGGTCCTCATTTCAACACTATATTGCCACATGAGGTCTCATGGTTGGAATCATGAGAGGCAGACAGTGGTCCGTAAATTGTACGTGGCTTTCAAAATTCCATACATGTATGACTTCATAACTACATTAAGTAGTTCTGTATTTCAGCATCCTGTTGCAATTGTTTAACTCAACATCCATGTATTTATCATCTGCCAATATTGAAACACTTGTTTATCCACTACTTAACTTTAATTTTAGTTTACCATTATACAGAGTAGATAATGAAAAGTTTAGTCCAGTGTGACATATGAGTTTACAACACTTCAGTCCTCATTCGCCTTATATGTTTCGATTCAAAACAATCATCTTCAGAGGCATACCACTACGATAAGGAAACACTGTCACATAAGATATTTTAACAATATGCACTTTAGATATGACTAATGCTCTCTATATAAATTTTGTTATCATGGTTGGTTTTGACGTTTGTCTTAGGCACTCAGGTGCTTCTTGAAGTGTAGATTTACTGGTTAATCTGACTGGGGTTTTCCACTGCACGCAATATTGTGTTCACTTTTCCATACAGTAGACTCCCAATATATTTAAAATTGTATTAAAATTTCCATGTGAAAAATTAGTTATTATATTAAAATATCTTGAGCTGACATTGGGTCATGTTGTTTCCTCCTGATGGTGGGAGATGTCGTTTATTTCTCTTGATTTTATGTTCTTACTAGTAGTAGTGTAGTTCACGTGCGTGCTGTGTCGTTTGAAATGATAAATCACTACATCATTTAAAAGTTAATATGTCTGCCATGTGATACTTTTCATTGTGCAACAAACATGACATATTAATGACGCCAAATTCTGGACATGGTAACTAGAAAGTCACAGATAATTAGACTACAATAAACAGCAAATACATTTTATAAACACACCCCATGTTATTGTACTACTCATGTATAAAGCTAATGTAACTTCAATACTTTATGGCATTCAGTCTGTCTCCAAATAAACGAAAATCATTCATGAAATCTGTGCTGAATCCTGAATGTGATTTGAATGTTTACTTTTAATCTGAACATTGTTCAGGCATATTATTTCACCTCTGCCATTAATAGATATTAATTTGAAACAGCAGAAATAACAGACAAAGAAGCTGGGTCAAAATCAATAAGATATGACTGATATAATTAATCTTGATTTTTTTTTATTGCTAGTGGGATGGGACTAAGTCCCTTGTACTGCAGCCACTTCTGGCCTATTGTACCAGCCCCATACGTGAGGTGAGGGTGATTGTGGAGCAATTGGTGGTATGAAGATTGGCAGGGGAAACCGAAGTACTCAGAGAAAACCTGCCCCAGTGCCACTTTGTCCACCACAAATCCCACTTGACCAGACCCGGGATCGAACCCGGGCCGCCGCAGTGGGAAGCCAGTGACTAACCGCTTGAGCTATGGTGCAGCCTTCAATGAATTTTGATACTATAAGCATTAAATTTACACAAGCACAAGTACCATCAGTTAAAATTCCAAAGTCCTCCATTGGATGGAACCAAGTGTGCTGATCTAAGAGTTGTGCATGACTGCCACATCTTAGTTTTGATGAAATTAAAGATGACAGTGTGTCAAATTAATCCTTAAATTTCCCTACAGATGGCATAATCTTCATGACAAACATTCAAACATCATGGTTACTGCATTTCTTGTTCAAAGAATCCTAGGAGATGGGAAAGACCACATGGACATGCATGTATACACTGCGTACCTCCCTTTTTCAATAAAGAAAACTATAAACACAGTTAACTCGGTACTTACCAAAGGTACCCCAAGAATTTCATATGGGTCAAAATTAGCATATTCATAATCAAACTGGGAAACTTTATAAGCGAGAAGAATCAAGATCATCCATCCAGAAATGATGAGCAGTTTACTGAAAAAGTAATGACATTATTTTAAAACAGCTGTAGTTCAATGTTAACTTTAATAAGAAATAACAATTTTCAAGTATATATGATTGTCATACTCAGGAACTGACTTTATAATGCATGACGAACACAATGTTCTGAGCAAATGACCATATGCTGATTTATCCTGCAACAATGAGACCTCAATGTGAACAATTTATGAAATTGTGAATTTCCTTCTCAGTAATCAAAAATTAAACAAACAATGGGTTACATCCAAACACCCATCAACTCTCTGCATTCTATATACGGAATAGACCACCTTGGGGTACTTGCATTAAAAACGCCACAGCCAAAGAAAAATCTGCTGTTTCAGTTCATGCAAATGACAAACTGAGATATACTCAAAGTGATCATAACCACAAAATTTGCAGGAAAATCTGTATTTTATCAATGCAGCTTTGTTGTTTACTATCAGCGAGAGACATAGGTGCCATGTTTGCCACATAATCAGTCTGCCACTAATCACATCACTTTCACATGTTTCAGAGGAACATATTGCATCCATCTTCAGGGTTGAAGAGAAAGCGAAGAAAGAAACCACCTCTTTTTGCTGCCTGCTTCATGTTTCTTTCTTGCTTGATGCACCCTTTCACCCTCAAGATGGAGGCAACATGGTCCTCTGAAACATCAGTTGACTACAGACTACAGCCAGACCACAAGGCATTATATCACACAAGACAGAATTCTTTGTCATGTAAATGTACCACACGCTAAACCTTGTTTCCTCTGTGTTTCTCCAGCATTGGAAATGCCACACTAGAAGCAGTGAGTGACACAGCACACTTCTTCAAAGCAACACTGTGCTGTTAGCATGACATGAGAAGAACATTCCAAGCATCTGGGTGGCACTGTGGCTTTCAACAAACTGACTCTGAACTGAACAAGTTGGATCTAACAGTAATGTTTCCAACTTTATGCAGAAAGTACAAAGTTTGAATCTCAGCCAGAACACCAAACATCCAAACTGATGGTATTCATGATTTTCCTCAGTCTCTCTAACTTTAAATTAGGCCACAACTGCTTCCTGCCACATTCTTTCCAATTCACTGCTTATAATCATCCAACCATTCAACGCCATACAATCTGTGTTACTGACAGTCTCATTAGCTAAATTACAAACAGTCTGTGATAACTGTGGTGAAGAAGGAGTGAGAGAGGTGGAGCTGTGGGACTGTTCAATTTTTGTGGTTTTTATTGCAAACAAAATTATTTGGTGCAAACAATATCACTGCATGTCTTGCAGAAATGAGGTACAATGCCATGACAAATCTTACAGCTTTCATATGAATGTATGAGGGCCATGTAACTTACATAAACAGTTGCTTGGTTCCTTTCCATGGTTCATTGGACTGAAGTAGGAGCTTCTTCTTTTTGCAGTCTCCACAATGACATTCATTTAACACTGTTACTGGATTTGAAAGAGAACACATTAATTACGTACAGTTCCTTTATGTAAACCGAATAGCTATTGTAGCCAACCTTGTGAGAAATGATTTCACAGTCAAAAAATGGAAATGTTTTGATTTACAACCCAGAAGTTCTATTTCACCAAACATTATATGCAATCATTGATTATATCAAAATTGAGCAAATTAAGTTTTCTGAACACAGAATAACACAAGTCTGCAAAACATTAAAAATGTAATACATTCATTCAAGTTTAAAAAATTAAAGAAATTATAAGGGTGAATTGATGGAATTTAATGTGAGAGATCAAAACTTCCAGTGCCTTTGATTAATACAGCAGTCACATTTAAAAGCCTAGCAACTGTCACACTGAATGTCAATACAAGTACTGTCCATCATGAGAGGTATTCTGGTGTGAAAAAAACAATTCTCATAACAATTTTGACAACATTATTAATTAATGAAAAGGCACTTGGAAATGAACAATTGAAGATTCTAAAAGTAGTCACACTGAACAGTTGTTTCCAAGTTACAAAGTGACTAAAAAAGCTATTACATTTTGATTATTCTGACAATTCATATATAATCTGATATAATTACTTCTAGGTACTTAAACAAAAGGAATGTATAAAAATACAACATTCCATAATCACAAAAAAATGGTAAGGTTTCCCTAATCAACCACCATGCCATAAACATGCATCCAAATGCAAGTACCATAATCTGAATGCGTGGAGGAGTGGAAGTACAACTCTATGCATTCTTAACCCCACCACTGGCTAAGGGGAGTGGTCACTTTGAAGCCCCGGCCGCTCTACCCCCAGAGAAAGAATATGGATGGATGGATAAGAGGCTCATAGCCAACAAGTAATTTAAATGAATATTCATGTATACCTTCATATATCTGCTAGAAAATGATATAAATCTGCAATACATTAAAGCGTGAATCATCTATAAAATCCGGTTTCGTCAAATTCTATAATACATCTAACGTTAATCGCCAAGAACTGAAATGAACATCTTAATCCCACATTCCCAGAACCCCTGTTCCCAATATATAACGGTGAACTCAGTGCGTTTATCAGCTGACCATTTCTGGTGGCGATATACAGTGCTAATGTGAGTGTAACAACTTTACAGGTCTAAATGTGTGAAGTTCAACACTTCAGGTGATAGGTTATGTCCGACGCTTACCTTGTTTTATTTTACGTGGCCACCAATAATACGTCCCTGGAATTAAAAGCAGAGCAAGAAATGAGAGGAGAAAATAAAAGAATGTTCCTCCACTCTCATCGTATTGAAACTTTTGTCCTCCCATATTAATTTAACAAAATATTATTGCTAAATATGATTTGAACCACAAATTCGACCCATCGACGTGTCACCACAACCAATTACATTTCCCTCTTGTGCCCACATCTTAGTTCAGGAAGGGAGTGGGACTGGGATAGGAGAAAGGGAAACATGCAAAACTGCCATCTCTACGCAATCTACATGAACTAGATAGTCTGGTCATGATTGCAATCGATCATAATACACCTTTCGTAATTAATCGAATCGCCAAGTGTGAGCCAATCAGAGAATCTTAAATTTCCGTTGAAACGTTTTGGGCCATTAGCTCAGTAATACTGCAAAGTTTTAAGATATGTGTGCTCCATTGATGTATGTCGCGCAATTAATTAGATTAATTAGTAAGTAGGGATTTTGGACCGCGCCGGCCCGGGTTCATCCCGGGTCTGGTGAATTGGGATTTGTGGTGGACAAAGTGGCGATGGAGCAGGTTTTCTCCGAGTACTTTAATGATATATTAAATGTAATAAATAACAAAATATTAGTGGGTGGCATTTTCTGTGATTTGAAGAAAGCTTTTGACAGTGTCAATATCTGTCTTATCTGTCTGCCTAAAATAGAATTTTATGGAATAGTTGGTAAGGCCAATTCAGTGATAAAATCCCATCTCAAAGATAGGTACCAAAGGGTTGTAAATTCATGTTACTCATTGGAGGAATATTTTAACTTCAATATTAATTAATGATCTTGGTCTGTTATACGCTGGATGCCTAGTAGTATACTTTTATGTTTCATTATAGTAATCAACAGCTTATAGCTGATTCCTTTCAAAACTACTTTCTGTTAACAGCAGACAAAATAATTTCCATTATCAATAACAATGAAGAATTAGAAGATAATAATTGTATTGATTATCTATACAGAGTTTTCAGTAACCCCTTTCCACATATAATATTCGTTAATACAACTAGGGAAATTAAAAAAATTATTAAATCCAAAAATTCATTTGGATATGATGAAATTTCAGTAAAAATCCTTAAAATAAGTTCATTTATCATTGCTCCTTTGAATTATATTTGTAATAGGGCAATTTTATCTGTTTCATTCCCTACATGATTAAAATATTCTGTGATTAATTCATTATTTAAAAAAGGCAACAATAAAGATATAAAAAATTATAGACCTATATCATTACTAATTTCATTTTCTAACATTCTTTAAAAGATAATACATATAAGACTTTCTAAACATGTAATAAATAATGCTACATTTTCTAGTGAACAGTTTGGGTTTAGTAACAGTTCCTCAACAGGAGAGAGAATGTTTAAACTTCTAAATTATTATTTTTGTGGCATTAAGAAAGCCTTTGATTGTGTTAATCACGACTTATTAATGAAGAANGATATTTTACAGGGCTTAAATAATAAGGAACCTGTGGGAGGTATTTTTGTGGCGTTAAGAAAGCCTTTGATTGTGTTAATCACGACTTATTAATGAAGAAGCTGAAATTTTATGGAATTTTAGGCACTGCATATCCTCTAATCAAATCATACCTCAGTGATAGGTGTCAGCGAGTCCTCATTGATGATAAATTAACAAATTCTTATACTTCTTCAGAATGGGGGAAGATTAAACATGGAGTGCCCCAGGGATCTCTACTTGGACCAATGCTTTTTCTTTTGTACATAAATGACCTAACTAAAGTAGTTATAGACAGTGTCATGTAACTTCGAACAAGGCCCCGCATTCCTAGTCAAATCCCACACATAGCTTGTGGTGGGAGGAGTTTCTTAACACTCATTCTTCCACTGGCTGCCTGTCACTTCTCATACCCTCCACCCCCTTGTCTGAAATTTTTCTTCTGCGCATTCAAAGTTACTCTTGGGCTTCTTTGAAGTTACATGACACTTGGTATAATTATAACTCTAAGCCAGTCACGTTTGCTGATGATACCAGCATTACTGTTAGCAATCCTTATTTAGTAAATTTTAAAAAAGATATTATTTCCTCTTTCAGACAGTTGAATGAATGGTTTAATATCAATTTGTTGTCATTAAATTATAACAAAACTCTGTATATACAATTTAGAACCACTAATAGCCAAACAATTCAATTAGATATGAGTTATAATAATAAATATATTATTAACAATACAAATACTTGGTTTTTAGGTATTACTGTTGATAGCTCCTTGTTGTGGAAGCATCATATTGATGGACTTATGGTTAAATTAAGCAAAGCATGTTATGCTATTAAATCTATAAGACCCTTTGTGTCCCATGAATCACTAAAGATGATTTACTATTATTTTCATGCAGTTATGTCATATGCTATAATCTTCTGGGGGAATTCCCCTTATAGTATCACTATATTTAAACTACAAAAAAAAGAAAGAAAAAAAAAAAGGCCATAAGAATTATTACAAATTCAAGAAATAGGGATTCCTGTAGGAAGTTGTTTAAGAAACTAGATATATTACCGCTTTATTCTTAGTATATATTTTCATTACTATTTTTTTTTTTGTGATTGATAATATCTCCTTATTTAAAACAAATTCAGAGTTATATGATGTCAACACCAGAGGTAGAAATAATTTTTACCCTTCACAACCAAGGTTGTCTACATATAAAAAAGGTGTTTATTATATAGGTATAAAGGCATTTAATCACTTACCTCCTTGCATAAAAAATTGTCTGATAATAAGAATAAATTTAAAAATACTCTAAAAACTACCTTCTATTGAATTCTTTTTATTTATTGAAGGATTTTTTTAATAGTAATTACTAATTTTAATATGAATTTTTAAGGTTTTATGTGGGTGCTTTATTTTGGCATAAATATTTTATCATCTACCTTTTGGTATGATGATTTTTTACAATATTAAATTTAAGGTTTTATGTTTAATGTTAAAGTAGGAAGATAAACAGATTGGTTTATTGTTTGATCTGACGTATGCTTATTTTCATAGCATGTATATTTTAGTTACTTGTCTGTGACTGGTTCTATATCCATCAGGCCTATTTGTAGCCTAGATTGGATCAACGGAATTTTACAATAAAATTAAAAATCAAAGATGAATAGATACCAGATTTTCAGTATTCATTATATTTCTTTAAGATATGTTATTATTTCCGCCATATTATTCTGCCCAGTACTGAACTGGTGAAGATGAATGTATCAAATTTTCTTACATCATTAAACGCAGTCTTAAGCTTGTTGACAAGAGTGTATTTCACAGTCTCAAATTCCATCATTCTAATGAAAATAATAATAAATGGGAACATGAGTATTGTTGCTTACAATATATGTTTTATAATACTTAAATGTAACCGATAAACTGTGTTCTGGATGGCTTTCAAGTGTAAGTTATGAGAGAATTATGGGGTTTAATATATGTATCTCTGATGAAAACAGAATTTTCTTTCAAGTTTCCCCACCTTCAGCTTTCCTAAGTACAAGTATTCCATGTATGTCACAGTTCACAATGTTCAGTGCCTTTGGTTAAAGAGGTGTTTCATGTGAAAGAAAGGTTATGACTTTCCAGGCTCTGGTGAGAAACTTTCTCCAGATAAATAATTTGCAACCTAATCTCTTGTACTCCAGAGCTGCAGAGGTTCTTATTCCGCTGTTATTTTTTTGGAAAGGGGGTGGGGGACCAAGTTTAATAGAACTTCACTCAAATCCAACCCAAAGGATATGGGTGAAGTGATACTGAACTTACTCATGGAGCTGAGCCCTTCTTCAGAAGGTGCCAATTGTGCAGCCACTCAAGAATTTTCCAGCCTTTTATGGAACCTGAAGGTTCATTACTGTGTTCACAAGAGCCCTCCACTAGTCCCTATCCTGACCCAGATAAAATCAATCCATACCATCCCATGCTATCTATCTAAGATGCATTTTAATATTGTCCACCCACCTATGCCTTGGCCTTCCCAGTGGTCTCTTTCCTTCTGGCTTGCCTCTTAGTCTACATTCCTTATTCGTTGTCATACAAAAATGGTTTGAAAGAGTTTTTAGCCATGTTTACATGAAAAAGAAAAACATCATAAAATAGTGTGTATACTAACAATTACTGACCCTTCACACAAAAGCCAGTACAATACCTATCCCCGAGCAGGATTTGAATAAAATATATCCTGAATGCAAATGGAAGGGCCAACTTACATGGCAGCAATCTTGAAGGCACAGTAAAAATATCAGATGTTTCAATAAACTGTTAATTTTTTATTTACTTTTTTTTAATTATCTAGAAATATTACATAACATAAAGTAAAACAGAGACAAAGGAGATTATCATCAGGTCATTTTTAACCAAACAAGTAACAAAGTCAGGATATTCAAGATAGCTTGTTACTACAATAACTGATGACTCTAAGAGCAGCTCACTATATCATCAGAATACCAATTCTCATCCATATATTTATAATCACAACAGATTATACATTCTGCCTTGCATAACAACATTCATTCATCCAATTCATTCTAAGTGAAATGACAATATACCATTCCAACTTTGTACATGCTGCAATAATGCATCTGCTTCGATTATCTCAAAACAATGAAAACGTCTATGACTGTATTTGTAATTGGGAGACTCCTTTAGGCTTTCAGACATTTACAGCTCATTATGGTTAACACAAAACAAATTTAGGAAAACTATTAAATTATGAATGCAATTTCTTTTCATGATATAACAGCCTGCAACTGCTGCCAATTTTGTTCTCAGAACAATAAGATACCTGCAAACAGCACTTGAAGTCAATCATGAAAAAGAGTGAACTTCTGCCACTGAACAGTTGCACAATTACAATCGGAAACCTTCAATATAGTCTCAAAAAGTGTAACTGTTTTGTATCCTTGTGGCGCATTACAGCACTTACCCATAAACATTCACACATTTGCACACTACAAACCAATCCCTCAGTTCTTCTCTTCCTTTTTCTGTTCTTGTTTCTCTTCATGCGCCTGACCTTGCTGACTTGTAGAATCACTGCTACTTCCTGAACTGCTATCTCGTTCAGCTGCCATCTGTAACAAAGGAATAAAAAGTTGATGAAACTCAACTCACAATGACAAGCAATGATATATATATGGGATTTGATCTTCTCGTGGTGATAGCCAGTGAACTGTGTTCTGGCATCTACTGTCATGTAATGTGGTAGATTATAACTGTCATATCAGAGTAATGTCCTGCCTTCCTATTCGACAAAGAAAATTCTTCTACCCTGAAGATGGAAGTACAATTTTTGTCTGAAAAACTGTAGAACATTGAAGACATTATCACTGTTCCCAAATGGGCCTGCATGCCACAACACATTCGGGAACAGCGATAATGTCTTCAACGTTCTACAGTCATCATATCACTGGAAAGGAAGAAATAAAATATAACAGAGAAAGAGTTTCTACAATAGAATAAACTCTGGGAAATGGCTTAGCAAATATTCGCATACTAAGGACACCATCCTACATATGCAAATGCTTCATGTACAGTACATATGATGGAACAAAATGGGTATTACAGAATGGTTTGTGAAAATGCTCAACGTCACTAATCATCGTCGTCATCGCTCCTGGAGCTGAGTCCTTCTTGAGAAGCTGCCAATTCTGCACCTACTCAAGAACTTCCCAGCATTTTATGGAACCCAAAGGTTCATTACCATGTTCACAAGAGCCCTCCACTGGTCCCTATCCTGAGCCAGATCTATCCAATCCATTCCATCCCATTCTCTCTCTCTAAGATCCATTTTAATATTGTCCCCCTCACTTTCCTTTTGGCTTTCCCACCAATATTCTATATGCATTCCTCTTCACCTCCATTCATGCTACATGCCCTGCCCACCTCATCATCTTTGACTTAATCACTCTGATTCTATTTGGTCGAATGCTTAATGTAGCTTATATGAAATTTTTGTTACCTTTTTGTATGCCATCTCAAACAACTTCAGTGATGCCTGCTGTAATGAACTCGTCAACTTGCGGATTTCTTCGGGGCTTGTCTCATCCTTCTTGGACACAACATCCCGCACCTGTGCTATCTGTTCTCGTAATTTGTCACACTGTAAAAACAAGTCAACCGCAATTGAGTTACATGTCACATTTATTTGTTTCCTACTATACAAAGCTTGCTGAACTGCACTGCTAGTTGGTAAACAAAGCACTTTCAAACCATGTGGAACTAAGTGGAACACAGTGGAACCAAGACATAATGTGTATAGCTTATAATAAGAATTTCATTATTTATGCTAATAAGCTATTGCATTGCTTGCCATCATGTGTCTTTCATAAAATTATTAAAATATACATTCTTCATCAACTATTATAGTTGATGAAGAAAGCACCTGAAGATGGCACAATGTTGCTGAAACATGCAGTGAAGCGACATGTTAAACTGAGTGCACTACAAGACGGCCATTACATACATATCATGGATGAGAATCAGTGCAACAGGACGCTAAAATACAACATTGGGAATTTCACTGTTTTGTGAAGGGTAGTTCTGGGAAGAGATAAAACATACCACATAATATAAACTGCAGATTATTTGAACAGACTAGAAAACTAGGAACACTGACTTACTATAAACAGAATTACAATGAGATCACAACATGCTCAGCAATCGTCTCAACATGTAAAAATTCAGAGACGAAAAATATATTACATCACAGCATGCTGGATTCACTTGATCACATGTAATACTGACATTTCTAAGATTGTAATTTAAATACCAATCCTGCACACACTTCACGAAAAACTCACAAGCCAAAGTCAATTGACATATTAAAATGGACACTGCCAGACCAAAGGGTGTTAAAAAATAAAATAAGACTCTCTCCTACTACCTGAGGGGCATCCTGACCTGATATCAAACTTCCTTGGTTTCGGCACCTGAAAGTGCTTTTTGACATGGAACACAAAACACATGCATAAATATTAAGGGGAACTTCTTGGTAAATAATGGTAATTTGGGAAGCTAAGTATATGGGAAGTTAATATGAAGATGTATCTTAGGGAAGAAAGATATGAAGGTGTGGACCAGATTCAACTGGATGTGGCCTGCAGGCTTTCAGTTTACGGGTGCTCAACCTCCAGGTTATATTACCAAAGAGTTAACTACGATTCAGAGGAAAGGGAGGTAACTTATTGATAAGAACAGCAATAGTTTATATTATTATGTGCACTGGGAACAGGCGGAGGAAATTTGTCACTCAGGACATAACACAAGCAACTGAATAAATACCTCTTCTTGGGGAAGCTGATCTTTGAATTCATTCATCTTTGATTCTGTATCATGGATGATACCTTCAGCCTGATTTATTGCCTCCACGCGTTCCTTCTTTACCTTATCCTGAGCCGCATATGTTTCTGCATTTCGCACCATGTTTTCAATGTCATCCTTGCTCAAACCACCAGAAGACTGAATCACAACTAGAAAATACAATCACCAAACAGATATCCATATCAGTTCAAATATCTGGTAAAACCCACACACCACTTAACTGAACTCTACATGATGAAATTTCAAAAATGATAACAAGTCTCCTCTCATGAGGTGTCAGAACAAAAGGCGATGCACAGCATTCCAGTTGTCAATTTTGAAATATTCTTCTAACAGACTTCTCCAACACTCCTGTCATCTCCGCTAGTTTCTTACAGGTTTTCTCGACACAGCCATTGCCTTCCCTTTTCATGATCTATGTGCACTGGCCACAACCTCTCATTCTTGGATATGAATTACTCTGCCTTGCAATTTACTATGAATAGGTGGCCCCTCAAAAGCAACCAAATGTTTTTCTGCACAACAGTACTGACACCATACCTTGGCAGTACCATGAATACAAGCTCACAGTTGTAACACCACTAACCCAAACGCCGCTCTGTCAAGCTATATTGGAATGTGAACTCACCATGCATGGGATGTCAGGACTGAATGAATGAATGAATGAACAGTAGATAATACTGGACCCTTCAAGAACCATCTTCCATGAGCAGTGCATATGGGAGAAATAATGGTTCAGAGAGAACCCATGAGGCAGTATTATTGCTGACTTTTACACTACACGCAAAATAATACCCGCAACTTCTGCAGACACCAACAAAATCCATAATGACAATAAATACATACCCAATAATCTATTACATTTAACATGTATGAATATCAAATAAATTATTATAATTATGTACACTGTGTATTTCAGCCTTCCGACTATCTCTTCTTTCACTGTGATTAACTGAGTCTACTGCACTCTGAATTCATCAACCTAAGTATGAAGATGAGGGCATGTTTGGGACCGTACTTGACCTGGCCATTCCCGAATGCACCAGGTCCACCATCGTGCCTCACATACAATATACACAGTCCCACCATACAACGGCCAGATTTCAGGAGTACATTACACAGATCATTTGACGCAAAGAATTTCAAATAAACAACCTGATTCTTAATTATTATTAAGCTAAGTGCTACTGCAGTGTAGCACTCAATACATCAATTTTCCTTTGAAAAGCTGTATTACCAACTCAACGGCTTACAAGGTTTTCAGATGATCCCCTCTGGCTCAAATATATGCAGCTTAGCATCACTCCATTGAAAACCTCATTTTTTTTAGCATTTTCATTTAATTTCTTATTATACCAATGGTTTTGTTTATGCATTAACAAGTGCGGCATTTGACTAATACTTTGAAAGTAAAACAGAAAAGTGCAGCAGTCAAATACAGCAAGACTGAAAATAAACGTGCAACAACGCACTATCATGTTATACAACACTAGTGCCTCACTTGACGGGAGTGGCACTATCATGTTATACAAGACTAGTGCCTCACTTGACGGGAGTGTTGAACTGCACTGTTACTTATATGACTTCCCCCATTCAACTGACTTACAGAACACTCTGCTCACGTCTGACCATCACATGATGGGTCACAGAGTATGCAATTTATATTAGTTGCTTACAGAAAATCTATGTATACTTACTTTGCTGTTCCTTCCCTGTACCCTTGTCCCGAGCAGAAACATGAACAATTCCATTAGCATCAATATCAAATGTCACTTCAATCTGAGGTACACCCCTTGGTGCAGGGGGAATTCCCACCAATGTAAACTGTCCTAGAAGTTTATTGTCACTAGCCATCTCACGTTCACCCTGATGCACCTTGATTTCCACTTGTGTCTGTCCATCAGCAGCTGTAGAGAAGACCTAACACAAAATACACAATTTTCATTACACAGGTTCAGTAGCAGTAGCAGTAGCAGCATCAGTAGTGGTGGCGGCGGCGGCAGGTGGGGGTGATGGTCGTAGTAGTAGTAGTAGTGGTGGCTTCTAACTAGATTCAATTCTTTATAAACAAAAAGTTCCACCCATATTCGCCCATAATTCACAACTTGTAGACATGTCAACTAGTATCGAACTGGAGCAAAGGATGTAACAAACAAAACAGTTCAAACTGAAGCAATAATTAATGTACATACACTATGTTAGGAGTTGCTCTAAATACAACTGGGATACATGTACCTTTCTGATCTTACATACATCACAGATGGTTGTGAAACAGCCATCATAATTAACTGTCAAACACATGTCATGGTAGTGACACATAAACTGTACATGAACCCATAACTATTTAATTTGCTAACCTAATCAAACGAACTCCGTATGTTGCATCACTCAAATAAACATTTTTTTTCCTTGGCACTACAGCCCCAGGGGGCCTAGGCCTACCTCCACGAACTCCGTTCACTTCGGTTTTTCTAGATCTTACACATACGGTAGGACTCCTTGGGCGAGTGATCAGCTCGTCACAAGGCCTCTACCTGTAGACAAACACAGAAAAACGCACACAAACATCCATGCCCTGAGTGGGATTCGAACCCATAATCTCGGCTTCCGAGCGAGCGAAGACAGTGCATGCCTTAGACCGCTCAGCTACCATGACCGGCCAAATAAACATACTCCTCTTTATAATAGATGCGGATAGCCCTGTACCATCTGGAGTTCTTGTGCCAGTAATCTTAAACTGGTAGCGTAAGCTTATCTCATTGACACAAAGTTACAAACCAGATTACAAAAACATTCACCAATATGTACTTGATTGGGTGGGACATCAGTTTGCTTGGGTTTGGCATACACCACTTTTTCTCTTCTTCAGTAACACACACAATAGCAAGGAAGCTACAAGGGCCTTGCTAATTTGATTTCTGACAACCTGTTTCCTTCATAATGATGTACAACAGAACAGAGCTCACATGGAAAGCTTGGAAAAGCTACATTCAGCATTCGCTCAACACTAGCTCGTTAGAACACTGTGTTGTCAACTTTGTCCAGACATGAAAATGCGGAGCATGAGGGAAGAGAGAGTGAAAGTGAATTTTTGTATTAATCTGCAGAAATCGCCAAGTGAAATATTACAGATGTTAGATACAGTTTATGGTTAATCCCCAGGCCAAAGAAGCAACAGGTTAAAGCCCAAGATAAAAAAAAATGTTGAACTGCTTTCTTAACATATGAGGTATCAACCACTTTGAATTTGTACCCAAAGGGACCACTGTTAATGAGACATCCTACATGAGGTTCGAAAAGGCTTACTGATGCCGTGATGCACAAGTGAGGAGAACTGTGGAGAGACTGCTCATTGATTCATCCTGACAATGTTTCGAGTGTCAAATTATTTAGCATGAGAAGGCATCTCTGCCATGGACCTTCCACCATGCTCTCCTGACCTGGCTCCAGCTGACGTCTGGCTGTTATAAAACTCAAAGAGTGTATTGAAAGGAAAGCATTTCTTGGATGCTGAGGACATAAAATGATCTGTGGAAAAAATTGATAGACATTCTTGTTCAGGAATATAAAAGCTGTTTCGAACAACAGCTGAAGTGCCGGAAACATTGTAAAGAACTGGAGAGAGATCGCTTCAAAAAATCTAAGCTGCCAATATCTGCAGCTCTTAAAACACATTTTTAAAAAATTTGTCTCAAGAAACTTTCACCTGACCCTGCATTACTTCAAGCTTCATATTCAGGTCTAAAATTCTTCCACCTTGTTGCCACAATTAGAATTTTCAATATTCTGCAGTTGCCAATGACGAAAACAAAGCACATGTTTGATGGGGGTAAAATCTTAAACAAGCACCTGCATAGCTGTATCCTGTGATGTCACTGTCCAACCTAAAGCAGCGGAAGCTTAGAGGAAAGGGGAAAATTGTGACAAGGAGAAGATACTGCATGATAAAGTCATCCCTGTGCTTAACTAATTAACCACTACACTACGAAGGCATATGAGGGAACGGATGTATATTTCCTTGACCTCTGCACTAGTAGCTGGTGAGTGGTCAGCTTCACACCTCAGCCACATCACCCCTAGGGAAAGAGCCCCCATACCCATTGGACAGGCGGCTGGATGGGCCCAAGAACCCATCTGGATGACATGGGAAGAGAAAATTCTTGCCTCTACTGCAATCCAAACTCCAAACCCTTGGTTGTCCAGCCCATAGCCAGTCACTACACTGACTGACTAAGCTACCCTGGCTCCCCATTGCACAATACCCCTATAAGGAGAATATAATTAACCAAGAAAAATCACACATTGCAAAAAGAAGAGGAAATTCAGAGGATGTTACACGATGTGCATTCCTCGATAGTTCAATCTCAAAAACGGTAGGCTGATCTCAGTTCAGTTTGGGAATAGAGAGTTTCTCCTACACAAGGACAGGGCAGAAAGTGGGTTAACGGGGGTCTTCACACACTGCCAGCCATAAATAATTCTGAAAGCAAACTGTAAGTACAGCTGGTACAACATGTTATGGAAAAACAGTGGAAGCTGGTTAGGAACCACCTGTTATGACAAAGGCGTCAAGACAACCAATTTTGTGCCATGGTTTCTGTACATATAACACTGCACAACTGAGTCTCCAATGGTAGAGAACTATACCTTGTTTGGTCTATGCTACTGCTCCTTCAATACTTTTCCAACTACTCTCTACATCCGAAGGCCCTGTCCATCCACAAGCTGAGGACATGCCATGCTGTGATGACTAGAACCCACTGAACACAGAAATAAAATGAAAAGAAAGCTGTACTTACCTGACTTTTCTTTGTAGGTATTGTGGTGTTCCTCGAGATAAGTCTTGTGAACACGCCTCCCAGTGTTTCAATACCCAGAGATAGTGGAGTAACATCTAGCAACAACACGTCTGTGACATCACCTGCCAGAACACCTCCCTGAACTGCTGCCCCAACAGCCACAGCCTCATCAGGATTTACTGATCTACTAGGCTGACGGCCAAAGATTTCTTGGACAGTCGACTGGACCTGGAAGGTTAAAAAATATTGTCATGTGTTCGTTCATTCATTCATTCATTCATTCATTCTTAGAGGGGGTGGGTTTCCCCATGCACCGCGACCAGTAGTTGATCTATTGTGCGTCCCCTTTTTAATTTCTACTGTCTCCATACCCTACCAGTACTGGTGCTTGCTATCAGCCCCATTCTGCCAGCGAGGTTTCGCCCTCTTATGGCAGCGGTACCCGATACTTTCCCCATCTACTGGAGGCATTGGAAACTACTATGGGCAGGAAACTTTTGGCATAATTTTGCTCAGAGGTCTCCTAGAGACATGAGGACCTTTTACGTGCCGTAAATCTACGACACAGGACCCACGGCTTAAAGTCCCTCCCGGAGGACTTGTTCCCTGAATTTTTCACCCTTAAAAATTCCACGACCTCCACCGGGTTTGAACCCGCGTACCTTGAGCCATGAGGTGGGAACGTTACCCCTATACTATGGTGGCTGCTTTTGTCATGCGTTAGTGACAAGACACAAAGTGTGAACTGATGATTTGATTTAATGGATGCTTACAACTTGTAACCACAAATGGTTATAACAGTCTCACTAATTTACACACTCTATAAATCACTATAACTACAGCATGTACATTCTTCTGTTTTTTTTCTGTTGCCATTTGTCATTGCTAGGTAGCTACTGCTAACAATGCAGATTCCTCACAGCCAACCACAAATTGACACTGCTCACTTGCAACCCTCAGCTTGCTGACTGACCAACTGATAACCCGCTGCTGGCCCTACCCAACACAAAGCTTCTTGGTCCCATGTCCCACAGGACTCATCATCATATTTTACTCTATGACAGGTCTAGGAGCCTTCACACCAACTGGCTGACTCAAGCCGAATTCAAAGTTACATTACAGCCGACGGTCAGTGGGCCAGTCTGTCTTGGTATCAAGCCACAACCGAGGCCCCAGACCAGATTCTTGTTACTGTCAGATAGTTGCTGGGGGCCCGCAGTAGCATAGTTGGTTGAGGCACAATGATACAAGCTGGAAGATCACAGGTTCAATTGGTGAGGTCAGTCATTTTTTGTATGTATTACTCTCATTGGGACTTCATAAAAGTCATAACGCTACATAAATAATATTATCCATGACCACAACAGGCAGCATTCATTGAATTTGAGACTTACTCTGGGCATCCTGGTCATTCCTCCAACAAGCAGAACTTCCCCAATATCAGACTTGCTAACTTCAGCATCTGAGAGTGCTTTCTGACATGGAGCTACTGTCTTTTTGATCAGTTCACCAACCAAGTTTTCAAACCTGGAGCGAGTAAGCTGCAAATAAAGATGACATAAGCAGATTTTAGCATTCAGCACTGCTACCTATTTTTGCTACTGAAGTTGTGTCATAATGTGCTAATGCAATACAAATATGATAACAGTCTCACTCCCACAATTACGGACTGTGAACCAGTGACCCTGAAATGCATGTCCCAGCTGACATGTTTACAAATACAGTCAAACAGACAGCAGTCATTTATTACCTTGGTGCATGTTATCTTAGCCACGAGATTCCATTTGTGTCCAACCATGATGAAATTCATTACCTGAACTGAATGTGATCACTAATACAAAGTATATCAAATGCAAGTAGCTACGAGTTTCTTACATGGCAACATGCATAGTTACATTCTGTACACAGGCACTCTTTGAACTCAACACATTTCTCAAAAACTACCATTCATACTCAAACATGAAATATCTCACTTATTCCAAACCTTTGTGAAACAAACGTTTTTAACAAATACTGAACTTCCACATATATAAACTATGAATTCCTGCCACTTTATCATGTAAAACCCTTTGTCAGTAATTATGCATTAATTACAAGGCGGCTGTTAGAGGCTCCTATGTTTCAGCTGACACCGCAATCATAATCTCTGATGAAAAAAAAAAGTTCCACTTCTTTATTAGAGTCCGTCACAACACAAGAATACAATGGTCTAGGCTAAAATTAACTTAGCTACATGTTTCGGCTATTAAAGCCATGATCAGGCAAACACACGACTACCATGTACACACACTACTGAACTGCAATTGTGATGGTAAAGCTGGATACTTGATAATTATTACATTATAAAATACAATTAACTATAAACTTACTATAAAAATGAGAGTTATGGCATAAAATAAGGTTAAAAGTTCTTAATGTGATATTCCATAACATTAAGTCAGTTGTTGCAATTTTGTTATATTCCTGCAAGCATAACGGTATGTTCTAGACTTGTATACATGTAATAAATTGCTTTGAGGCCCATGGTATTGGTGTAGTAGTTTTGACATGAATTGTTTTGCCAGTGCCTCATCTTACGATGTATTTTGTCTGTTCAGTAGGGAGTTTGTAAACAATTTATATATTTTCAGATTTGAGGTTTTCACAGCACTGACTACAAAGAATGCTGTCTTCTGGGATGTGGCACAGTGTAGATACTGTGTTAACCGACGTTTTGGAGCCACCTGCTCACACTGGTTCATCGTTCATGGATTTCTTATACCAGGAAGATGGCAGCGAGCAGTTAACACAATATCTACATGTTGCTACATCACGGAAGATGGCATTCTTTATATACATATATTCAGATTCTAGAACTACCAATATCAAATATCTGTTATGGCATCAATTTTTCTCATGATGGAATTCCACTGTATTTAGGGAACTTACTTTAAGATTCATATGTTTTGGTCCAGAAGAGTCCATTGTAAGGTATGGCAAATTGATGTCCGTCTGAAGTGAAGATGAAAGTTCAATTTTGGCCTTCTCGGCAGCTTCCTTCAAACGTTGCATAGCCATTGGATCTTTGGTTACATCAATACCTTGCTGCAATGTGTAAGTTCCAGGTTTAACAATCCTGAAGCACATATTCCCATAGGAAATGTTTTATCTTATTTAAAATCAGTTATTTCGCTGCTTGAATCTTTGATTAAGCTGCCTACTGTAGGTGCGATTCCAAAAATGCAAACAGGCTTTGACAAGGTAAGAAATGGTGAATGATATTAACTGAAATATACTACATGTCAAGTAATGGAAACTTCAATTTCACTTCATGAATTTTCCCCTTACAAACTGATTTAATAAAGGAATTAATTTTCAAAATTAAGGGATACCTGTACATATTTCACACTTAAATTCCATACTCACTTCTTTCTTAAATTCAGCAACAAGGAAGTTAACCAAAGTATTATCGAAATCTTCACCCCCAAGGAATGTATCTCCATTCGTTGACTTGACCTCAAACACTCCTTTCTGAATTTCTAAAATTGAAATATCAAATGTGCCTCCACCAAGGTCATAAACAGCAATACTGTAATCCAAGAACACACACTCCTATAACATCAAATCACAGCTAGAATACAACCATGTCTCTCCTATGTACAGAGAATTTGTAACTTCTCACGTTAACTTCACGTTACAGCAGGCATGCCGCTTTGCAAAATCATTAAACAAATGTTACTTTGTAAGATTTGAGGGTTTCACAGCGGTGACTATGAAGAAAGCAGTCTTCTCGGATGTGACACCGTGTAGATGTGGTGTTAACCGACACATTCCTCCAAAACGTCGGTTAACACCATACCTACACGGTGCTACATCTCAGAAGACTGCTTGCTTCAAATGCTACTTTCACTACAATTCATAATACAGTAACTGGACTAAAAAAACGGAACTTGCTTTTCTAAATGTATTTTATACCCTCTAAAATGGTGTTGTGCAACTAGTGTTGTAGAATACTGGTGTGCTTCCACATGGCATTGTGTGCGCCACAAACTTTTATGAGAAATTGTATATTTCCACATTATACTTAAAATGGGTCAGTTTGTCAAATTAAGTTATAAAACCTTAAATGTTCAACATTTGTTCCAATTTTTGCCTTTTACGGTTTTGTAATAACTGTATACATCCAAACTTTAATGTTACTATAAAGCTAATATTGGGGTACTATGCTACAAGCTGGAAGGCCACGGGTTCAAGTCCTGATGAGGTCATTGGATTTTTTTTAATTCACCTAATCCTTCCAGCAGCACTATGGCCCTGGGGTTCACTCAGCCTCTAACAGAAATGAGTACCAGGAATTAATTAAATAATTTTCCTGGGGAGTAAAGCGAGGCCGGCGTGTAAGGCTGACAACCTTACCACCATCTTTGGGCCGACTGTCTAGATAATGTGGGACCCTCAACATCTCACAACCCTATGGGCCTTCACGGCCTGTTACAGGGGTAGCTTTACTTTTACTTTACTTTATAAAACTAACACTGGGGGCACGCGGTAGCATATGTAGTGTAGTGCATATGAGCTTCATTATAATGTTACTCCTTGCAGTTACACATTCTCAAAGACATGTGAAAACCAGTCTAAAAAATACAGACACTTCAGTGCCTACAATGGCAAGGTCAATTCATATACTTGAAATTAAAAAAAAATGTCTTTCTGGCACTGTTTTCCCTTTCTATATAGAGGTCAATCCCATTATTTTCCAACTCCCACCCTCCCATAATCACACTTTCTGGCACGAATAGTATTGGAATCTCAAAAAAAAAAAAATGTTTCCCTGTCTGTTCCTTTCTTTCACAGTAAGTACTCACACTTTATCTTCTGTTTTATCCATGCCGTAGGCTAAAGCTGCAGCAGTAGGTTCATTAATCACACGCAAAACATTAAGTCCTGCAATCTGACCTGCATCTTTCGTAGCCTAGGAAAGAAAAATAAAATAAACAAAAATGCAAACCCCATGTAGAATCATAATGCCACACATAAAAAGACCTTAAGAATGCACACACCTGTCTCTGGGAGTCATTGAAGTATGCTGGAACAGTAATTACAGCATTTTTTACGGGTGTACTTAGGTATGCTTCGGCTGTTTCCTTCATTTTCATCAGTACAAAAGCACCAATCTGACTAGGTGAATATATCTTCTTATCTGTACTTTCTACCCACGCATCTCCATTTGACGCTTGGACTATCTTGTATGACAAAGTTTTCCTAAAATATACAACAAAGATATCAGGACAGCATAACAGAAACAAGAACACTGCAAGAACTTAGACATATGCTTCAGAAGACAACTGAATAATATGGTACAGGCACAATTTATTAATGAAAGAATGACAGGTTCCCAAACATGCTTTTCAACATGAAAATAAAAGGAAAAAGCACCAAAAGAAGACTCAGTTCAAGACGAGGACAGGAAATGTCACAAGGAAGAAAGGCAGAAGAGAGAGAATAAGCTCTGAGAAGGAAACAACAGATGGAGAGGTTTCATTGTTAGCTGACAACATATAAGCGGAAACACTGGAGGAGGAAGAAAAGGAAACAATAAAAAAATTTACACTTTTGTATTATCTTCTGTGAAATAAATTATAAAGTATTATCACTCACATGTCCTTTTTTACTTCTGGATCATTGAACCTTCTTCCTATCAATCTTTTTGTTGCATAGAATGTGTTTGCAGAATTTGTAACTGCCTGGCGTTTTGCTGGCATTCCAACAAGCCTCTCTCCATCTAAAAATGGAAGTCCATACATAAATTATGAAAAAGAACACATTACAACTGACACATAATAAAGAAAAGAGAGGACTCCACAAAGAGAATGTACTTAAAACACACTTTTCAAATGCACACAATGATCCATCATAAACTTAAGCAGGGCTTGATGTTCTCACATCATATAGTCAACTGAAAGACAACTGACATGTCACCTACATCTTCAGGGTTGAAGGCTTGTTATGTGCTTCAAGCTCATTTCTTTCTTGGCTTATTCGTGTCCCAGAAGATGGGAATCTTCACACAAATTTAACATCTTCAGAATGAACTTTGATAATCCAGTATCTACAGATATTAATGTCTGATTTTAGGCTAATCAAAACGCCGTGCCATAGCTCAAGCGGTTAGTTGCTTGCTTCCCACTGCGGCGGGCCGGGTTCGATCCTGGGTCTGGTCAAGTTGGATTTGTGGTGAACAGAGTGGTGCTGGGACAGGTTTTCTCCGAGTACTTCGGTTTCCCCTGCCAATTTTCATTCCACCAATTGCTACACAGTCACCCTCACGTATCATCTGGGGTTGGTACAATAGGCCAGAAATGACTGCAGTACAAGGGACTTAGTCCCACACCACTAGCAATAAAAAAAATAGACCAATCAAATACCTTAAATAAAAACACAGACCTTTCAAAAATGCAACTACTGATGGTGTTGTCCTCGATCCTTCGGCATTTTCTATTACTTTGGCCTGTTTTCCTTCCATCACCGCTACACAAGAATTGGTTGTACCAAGGTCAATTCCGATAACAGCTCCCTTGACACCTTCAGACCTACAAAACAAGCACCACAATAATTTGAAGAATATGAATATGACATATAATTTTCCAAGTGAGCTTCAGGAATCAAACATTTACGTCCCCTCAACAAGTAGTGTCATGCATCACGAAACATAGCAAATGAAAGAAATATTGCATTCTTGCCATCTAATTTTCCAGGCTTACATGTGTGAGCAGGAAGTATACGGCAACAGGGAATTATTTTCTTTCTATCTATTAAAGTGCTTACAGAATCACACTGTGTGCAAGAAAGCACGAGTTATTTCAGATGCTAATCTTGTAATTGTATTTTATACATTAGTCTATAACATATATAGTGATGTGTTCATCTTGTGTTTTAATGCTCAGAAGAGTGTCGAATAATATTTCCTTAGATTCACATTGTAATCAGTAATTTCCCCAACCAATAGTTCAGCACTATTATTGTGGGGTGGATACATTTCACATAAAGTATATCTATATGCTACACATATGAAAAAAAAAACATAATAAAGTTAATACTGGCAACATTCGAAAAGAGAATATTTAGGTAACTATAGGAAATTATAAGAGTCAATCAAGATATCTGGGATATCCTGAGGGCGTTCTGAAATGTCAATATTTCGGAAAAAATTAATTTACGACCAATATAAATATCGTAATATATGCCAGGTTTCATAGATTACATAGAGAGTTTAACAGAAAAATATATGCAAGATTTAACATGTGAGAAAATACAGATACAAAATGTCCCGTATAAATATATAAAGGTTTCATACGCTATCAGATATTCAATGGTAATATATTGCCGACGGCCAAACAGTGCTCAACTGTGCAGTAGTCATTTGCGCACACCTGTCATAATCTACACTCAAAACCTAACATTAGCGTAAATTACCGAGCTTCGCCCCCTCCAAGGTACAGATGGATGCGCAGTAGTCTACTGCGCAAACCTAACCTAACCTAACCTAACCTAACCCAACCTAACATCAGCGAATGCTACCCCTGAGATACCTACGTGATCGCAGTAGTTCACTGCGCACGCCTAACAGTGACGTCATTTGCGGAGCTGCTATTTAATGGAACGTAATATACGTCTGTCGTAACACGGAATATAAATCGAAATATCATGTAATGTATGAAATTGAGCGTGTTCACTCATTTTCTACCCATAATATCAATCTATGCCCTTATATTCCGAGGTTATATTGCTACGTGATAGCTTAGATTGTGTCGAAAACGTCGCTACCACCTCACGAGTTTGCGCATCCCCCACGGTCATACAAATGAGTACTGAATATCACTTATTATGGTATTATGCTGCCCTCCAATGGCATAACGTTATGACGAAAAATCTTTATTATCAGTGAAATCGTTCCCTTCTCTCTCGTCGATAGATACGCGACCATATCACTGACTGCTTGGCATTTGTTTCGCCCGAATTTCCCTTCCTGCATAGGAAGCTGAATAATATTATACACGAAAATGAGTAAAAAATAGGGTCAAAAATTAATGTCCTGAAATCGAACTGATAATGGAATGTTTCTGTTTCAGTCAAGTTAAGAGGTTGGCTGCCCTGTCACTGTGACCTACATATCCAGTGTACAAAATCAAGGTGCGTTTCTTTCCTGGTATGAACAGGTGTTTATAAATAATAAGACGGTGTTATGTGTGTATGTTTATATAGATATATGTAAAAGTTCTGATTAATTATCTGCCTGAAAGTATATCTTAAAAGATTCAGTGAGATAATACAAATGGTAGGCTTCAATGTGTGTATTATCCTGGACAGAGTAATGGCGAGTGCACGAAACTTTACAAACATGTGTTTCCTTTGTTCCACAACGAAATCGAAGTCTTTTCCCTCTGAACCATGAAACTGAAGTATGTGTGAAGGAAGAATACACCAAAACGTACATTTATTGATTTAACGACAGTAAGTGCATATAAGAATAGTGGGTATGTAGTGAAACACAGTGTACCTTTGAGGTCATTCTTGCACTATTATTAATAATCTAGTGTGAAGAATGTACAGTGATTTGCACAAAATGTGTTTCAGTGGTTATATGGGTAGAGAGTGAATTAGATTTTATGAGTGCATATTTGGTATGACAGAAAACGGGGTGCAGTTTTGGTATGTAGCCTCTGAATATTACACATATAAGTCATTAGTCAGAATGATTATTATTTTTCTTTTTCTGCATTAGTATAAGTACTTGTAAGAAGAGGGTGCAAAGTGAATTTCTAGTTCCCATTGAAGAAGTTATTTTTTTGAATTCATATCTTAGTTCTGGGTGACAGAGTGGTGGGTATAATGTATGTTGTTTTGGTCACAATAATGTCGAGTGTAAAGTGAAGTTTAAATTCTCTAGTGTGACTATATTTTTGGGTGTAATATATACAGTGAGTTGCAGTAGTGTTTTCAAGAATGTTAAGATTTCCACTCACCCACAATGGATTCAAAAGTTTCCACTTTCATGTACATATCTTGTATGCATCAAGAGTTTTTGCTTATAACAAGGTGGTATGCTAAGTGAAACACATGTTGTCATTGGTGTTATACTGGCAATCCTGTTCAATCGCAGTGTAAAATGTGCACAGTGGTGTGTAGAGTATGTGGTACAGCATGAAAAATGATGGCAAGTCATTGGTAACTTCACTGAACAGTGAAAACAGCACAGCAGCCATGAGCAAACCCTGGATGATATAAAGAACCTCCACATCAAGATAGCCAGGTGGCACAATATCTGCCCCATATAAGGGAGACGATGGGAGGATGAACACAAGCCTGCATGGTTTACGAATTTTAATTACTGACAATCTAAAAAACTTTTAATTAGCATCAAAGAATTTTATACAATTTTTTTAAAACTTACATTCCCAGGAAACTGCTGTGTTTGTGAAATGTTCTATTCTGTGTACTGTGTGCTGTAACATGTAAGTGTACGTACTTTGCGTGTAAACAAATTATGTGATAGTGGTTTCCTATTTGTAGTGATGTTTACCCTCTGAAGATGGTCCACAGAGACCAAAACATGTAAGGGTGTTAAGTTTTTATGTAGTAAAAAACTTACAGGTCACATTGGACGGAGTGATTTATAATTTGTAATTGTTATTGTGACAGACCAGAATGAAACAAATCAAACTTAAAAATATATGTAGTTAATATAAATAAGTGAAGATATTTGACAGTTTAACTGCAAACTCTTTATGATCATTCACAGACCACAACCCTTGCAAAACAGCCCCACTCACTAGCACCCCTGCTATAAAAATAATTTGTTATTAAACTACTTACTTGTGCCTTGTTTGTATGTCATTATGCTGGTTCACAGAGCAGGCTGGGGAAGTTGTCTGAAAATATAACCACAGACATATACATATATATAATGGTCTAAAAACATCACTCAGCACAGATACACCACTTGGTAATGATGTCTGAAAACATGATAAATATGTACAACAGCTATACCAACTTCATTCTTAAGAACAATGCTTTAATCAACCCCTTCATTATGAACTTTTTCAGTGTGTCAATCTGACAGAAGGGTAATCAGTAATGTGTAATGGCAGAAATAAAGTGATTGTTGTAAAGAAAGCTAGAATCTCACCAATCGCATACTGACAGACTTTCTAACCTGCCATTAGTCCTTCTAATATATGACCGACTCAGGTTTCTATTTCTGCGGAATGAAAGCAAGGCAATGATGTGATAACACTTCTCACATTTGTGTTGTATATGATGACTGCACACAACTGAAAAGATGAGGCTTTGTGACGCTAAATCTACCAAGAAGCTCTGCTTTGTGCTACCACCACAAAGTATTTACAACCACTTGATGATGTTACAACATCAAAAGTCTGTTCTCATACAGGTTTCTCATTCAAAAATATAATAACATTTCATTATGAATGCTTGCTTTTGCATACTGAATGCCAAGTTGTCTTAAGACATCAAACCCCACGTTCAAAAAACAAGAGAATCTATTCATATCCCAAACATTCTGCAAATTCAGCAATTAAGACTTTCCATAAATGTTCACATGTCAATTAAAAGAAAAGCTACACCCAAGTCTAATGGATATTTGTAGAGCATTATTCTCGCATCAGTGGTCAGACAAATTACAGAAGAGAAAATTTAAAGACATATGAGTCAGAGCTATGTCACAGGTAGTGGCAGATGACTGTCCTACCCCGCACTCCACCACTGCCTACTACAGAATACATGTGCTTCAGCTGTATCAGAGCACATTAATGTATCACATGCACTCTCAAAATATACTTAACACCAATCAACACAGCTCAAATCCAGAGTCCCAGCCTTGTATTCTTATGATGACTGGATCCAAAGTTAATGTAACCATAATTACTTCATAAACAAATAGACCAAAGTCTTCTACTTGTTAGGGACCTAACAAACACATCTTCTACTCTGTTACAGCCTACAATCAACTTGAGACCAAGAACTTGCATGCACATGATTTGAATAAGTTGAAGAGTGCAGCTGTTGTGTTTCCATCTTTCCATTTGAATCCAAGATATACATTTAATACCAGTGCCATGTTTGGTTATGTTCTGACTAATAATTGTTGTGTTTCATTACTTTTTCTTGTAAACAGTATTCAATATGACACCTGAAAACCCCAGCACAGTGATGCAACAGATACTGTTCAAAAAATAAGAGTGATTTTGCGCCAACTAAACTGAAAATTATCTTCAACACATACATATCTTTAAGAAATTGTTATCAGATGATGGGAGTAAGAAACGCATTTCTCCAAAGAGCAGGAACTGACTCTTCAGGTTTCGCATACAGGTGGGTACATGCTGTATCAAAAATTCATACAAAGATGTCAGTTCAACAGAAAATATTTCCAATATTCAGGTCTCCTGGAAAGAGAATGCAGAAGTGGGTTACAAAAGCATGGACTCTGAGAAAGATGTTCTATGTAGAACTACTTTCAGATTCTATGCTGAGGAAAAATTTCCCACTTCAAAGAAATTTGCTCATGAAGTGAGACAGATATACTACAGCAGTTCTGAAGTCTCAATTTACTCAACTTACAAAACATTGCGGTCAAACAGAATGAGCACCAGTTGGTTGTGGAAAGGTGTATTATGGCTGCTCAAACCAAGTTCCTTTGGGCAATTCATAACCCATTTTCTGTGCCCTGTATTCTGTTTAGGTGAAGGATGAGTTGACCAGAACCATTAAAAATTAATATATTTGACATGATTCATCAAGAAAGAAAGAGGTGAAAGCTCCTCCAGGAAGTCTTGTTGTGTGCCACATATGATCAGCAAAAACAGGCTTCCTTTCTGAGGGTGTGATCTTCTGTTCATGTCCACATATGTGACACTCCAATTATCACCCCTAGACAAATGTTAACAGTTTTAACCGTTTTAAAGACATGTTCATAAACATATTTCTAATCATCTAGGAGATTGTGCTATGCTGCATCACAACCATGAACAGTGCCCGCTACGACTCTAGCAACATATAAACAAAGTTCCGAACACAGGGTCTAGCAAAAAAGACATTCAAGAATGGCTGTAAAAGAACTGTACTGCATGTGACCTTGCAAAAAGCACACCTGAGTTATCAGTTCACGCTGCATTATATAAAACAGCAAATGACATTGGTCCCTTCCTTGATCTCAGATTGCCTCCTTACCCTCCTCCTCCTTACCCCAATCAAACTGTTATGGTACAAAAACTAAAGGGAGAAGTTGCATAATTCATTAACACTTTTGGACTGTCCACACAGAGATACTAACATGGTCACTGAGAGTTACCAAGAACTGGATTTTGTGTGTCCAATATGCAAAAAAACTGCATGACTGCTACAAAGAAACAGTTCAAGATACAGTTACACAACTTATCACCAAGAATTTAAGAGACAAAAGTGACTGCTCAAAAATAAGTGACACAGATGACAGAGAACAATTATACAGATGAACCACTGGCCGCACCACTATCACAGCTGAGGGAAACTGATCTATCAGTACATTGTCGCAATTGTCAGAACTCTAGGAACAACAAGGCAAGGCAAGGCTTCACTGAATTGCCAAGTTAATGTTCATCTTCTCAGCACCAGAACTTTGTATTTATATGAAAACACGTGATTCACTCTCCTGTGCCCCCACCCAGGACACATCCAGTAACACTGCCATTACCTGCCACTGGACTCTCTCCACGTGCCTTTCAATTCTGCATCGCAGACACCAATCTGTTGAACCTACTGGAATAAATTATTACATCTGACATCCTTACCTCCAGCCGCACTATGGCTCTGGGGTTGACTCAGCCTCTAACAGAAATGAGTACCAGGGGTAAAGGGTGGCTGGTGCATAAGGCTGACAACCTTGCCACCATCTATGAGCCGATTGTCTAGAAAATGTGGTAACCTCAACATCTCACAACCCTATAAGCCTCAACGGCCTGTTACAGGGATACCTTTACTTTACTTACTTAACATTATTAGCAAGATTTTCCTTCATGATGAGAGAAACTTAAACTTTATAGGTTCCACCTGAAGACAGAGCCAGAACCCAGTCTCCAAAAGGTCTTAAATGAAAGAGCAGGATGATGGATAACATCCAGAAACACAATCTCTGGGGAAAGGGGCTAGAACTATCAATTGGACTCAACTGAGTATGTACCAAATGGAGACAGAGGCAGAATCCAGTCTACAAAACACTGTTTTATATAAAAAACAGGACGATGGACATAGTCCAGGACTGTAGGTTAGTTCTGTTCACAGAAAAAAAGATCATTCAAGTTGCTTCTTTGTGCTTTACTTAAACACTAGAATTTACTATCATGTCTAGTCTTCAACAATTTTGCCTTCAACATGTTACAATTTTACCTCCCTAGTAGCATGTCTCTCTTCATACAAAATAACAGATAATAAGTACTCTTGTGTAAGTTTTGAGGTTTTCACGGCGATGACAATGAAGAAAGTTGTCTTCTGGGNCTTCATACAAAATAACAGATAATAAGTACTCTTAATCACACAAATGTTATTGTGATAAATGTCCCACCCAGATATGACCTTTCACCAAACTCCTATGTAAATGATGAAGTTCGAGTGATTATAGAAAACCTGAGAAACTAAAAAAGGTTTATTTAAATCTTTCTGTAGTAACAGTAGACTCAGCTCAGAACTTATTCACAAGACATGGATTGCATTTAAACTCTCGAGGGAAAGAGCATACTGCTAGAAGAGTAGCAACAGTGATAAATGATCTGTTTAGCATAAACAAATCGGTCCCAATTGTGTTAAAGTGGAATGGTCTGGGTGATGTGCAGAGTAATTTAGTCGATAAGTTGACCCCTTGTGTGGAGATTGTTGATGGGAGTGATCAGGACAGGAAGTCCCAGCTCCTCTTGAATACAGACTGTGACATGATAGGAAAGCAAGAGAGTATTTGGGTTTTAAAGCCAAATGAGACTGATCACACCCTGACTTCACTGATTTCCCAAGAAAATGGCAGTCCACATCTGGTGGCTGACATTAAAGATTCTAGCTGGGATCTCAATCAGGATCAAAATTTAGACACGACAAAAATTATGCCATCATGAAGACTCCGAAAACCACCCTCTAAAAGAAGGGATGATTTTTTATGGGTGGGAGACAACAAAATAAAAACATGACTCATATAAAGGCAGATAATATACAAATCCTCTACCATAATGTGCGGAGCTTAAAAAATAAAATACTGGAACTAACTGTTTTATTACAATCTGACCTAAAAAATGTTGATATACTATGTTTTACTGAGCATTGACTAAAGGAGGATCAGTTAGAATTAACAAATATTGAGCATTTTAAACTAGTAAGTAAGTTTAGCAGAACTAGTTATGAACATGGTGGTTCATGTATATATGTAAAAGAGTATGTACAAACTACAGAACTATTCTACTTCCATAAATTAGGTAAGGAAAAAGATTTTGAAATGTCCATAGTAGAACTGATGAAGGACAAAATAGTTGTGTGTATTTATTGGTCACCAGATGGTGACTTCTACATGTTCCTAATAAATTTGGAAATTGTAATCCAAAATGTGCAGTTGAAAAAGAAAAAACTAATTTTATGTGGTGACTGGAACATAAACTTCTTAGATGACAGTGTAAGAGTACGAGAACTAAAAAATTTGCTTTGGTTGTATAATTTGGCCAACATAATTACATCCCCAACCAGGGTCACAAAGAATTCCATAACACAGATAGATGTCATAGTAACAAACAAGCAAGTTTTGAAATGTAAATCATCAGTATTGGACTTGGGTTATTCAGACCACTTGGCACAAACACTAAAGATTAATGTAAATAGATGAGAGAGGGGTCCTAAAATGAGCAGAAAAAGACAGTTCACTAAAGAGGGTATCCAGGAGTTTAATTATTTATTGCAGAAGGAGCTTTGGGAGGAGAGTTTTTCAAACTCAGATGCAAGTGCTAGTTTTAATGATTTTATGGACACAATCCTTTATTATTATAATGTAGCATTTTCAGAAAAGACTGTTCATATGAAAATGACAAGGAAAAACAAATGGATTACCCAGGGCATAAGAAATTCTGGTAAAAGGATGAGACTGTTAAATGGTTCTAAAAAACAGCATAATCTGTCTAGGGACATGCTGGAATATATCACCTGATATAAAAAAAAATTATAAGTGTGTTATGAAAGAAGCAAAAAAAATAGCAAATGATAAGTATGTTTCAAGGTCTCAAAATAAAATGAAAGCTATGTGGCATTTAATAAAAAATGAAGTTGGTAAGTCATGCAAGGGTGATGAGAAAAACCAACTGTTTAGCGGTACAAAAATAATATCAGATCCGCGAAGTGTGGCAGATATGTTAAATAATTTCTTTGTTGAAATAGTTGATGACCTTTTAAGTCAAAACAACAACAATAACAAAAACACACAGTAGCAGAAACAAAGGATAAACTGCTGCCCTAATACCATATTTTTCCATCCAGTCACTGAATATAACATGGAGTGTGTAACAAATAGTCTAAAATGTACATTATCTGCAGGATATGACAAGATACCAGAATATCTTGTTAATAATTGTATAAATTATGTAAAAAGCCCAGTGGCTCATATTTACAATGCCTCTTTAAGCTCAGGCACCTTCCCACATAGATTAAAATTAGCTAAAGTGATACCTCTGCACAAAAAAGGGGAAAATCATGATATTAAAAACTACAGGCGGATATCCATTTTATCGACACTTTCCAAAATATTAGAAAAACTGATGTATAATAGGCTAATGCCTTTTTAATTCAAAATAATATATTAACAGAGGCACAAAATGGCTTCAGAAAGAATAAATCAACTGACACAGCAAGTCAGTCTTTTATTGAAAGTACAGAGGAGGCCTTAGGTAACGGCCTATATGCCATAGGATTATTTTTTGATTTATCAAAGGCATATGATGTAATAGACCATAATATACTTTTAGAGAAACTAGACTCATATGGCATAAGAGGCGTGCCAAATATGTGGTTCAGGTCTTACCTGTCAAACAGAATCCAATATGTAGAAATAAAAAACACTGACGGCAGTGTCAAAACCAGTTATAATTCATCATGTAGGAAAGTGAAGTATGGTGTACCACAGGGATCAGTGTTGGGGCCGCTTTTATTTTTACTATACATTAATGATCTTACAGAAAATGTTCAAGGAACAAAGCTGGTTTTATATGCAGACGATACCAATTTGTTAATTACTGGAAAAGATGAACTTGACCTTCAATATAAAATAATGAACATTATGAAAGAATTAGAAATATGGTTTCAAAAAAATAAACTTGTAATAAATATTAAAAGACATCTGCCATGTCATTTCATTCAAAACAGCGGAGAGATCCGATAAGACCACAAATAGTTTTTAATAATACAGAAATAGTATATCAGTCAGAGTTGAGATTTCTTGGAATTCACATGACAGAAACCCTAAAATGGTGCGCTCATGCTCAATTTCTAAAAGCAAAGCTATGCAAAGTAATTTATATGGTGAAAATATTAAAAGAAATAATGACTCCATATATGATAAAAATTATTTATTTTTCGAATTTTGAGTCATGTATGAGAAATGGTATCTTATTGTGGGGTGGGGATGGGGAAAGTAAAAGCATTTTTAAATTGCAAAAGCGGGTTCTTCGAGTGATTAGTGGTATTAGTAGTCACACGTCAGGTAGACAAATTTTTAAAGATTACAATGTTTTAACATTGCCTTCTCTGTATATATTGGAGGTGACATGCTTTATCAAAAAATACAAGGCTACAAGACATTCATAATTATAACACACGAAGAAAATTAAATTTTCACGTATAGCACTGTAATACAGCTATTTTTAAGAGGAGTTTGATAAATATGGGAATTAGTTTGTATAATAAGGTCCCCAATCAAATAAAACAAAGGGAAAACTTTAACTCATTTAAAAAGGAAATAAAATCTTTTTTGCTGAAACATTCCTTTTATTCTGTAGATAAATTTATGTCTTTTGATTCATCAAGTGTGTAAATGTAATATGTAGCTGATTAATTTGTTGTATTTGTGTAAAGACAATGAAATTAATGGTAACTATAGTCCATTCGCGGAGGCGAGAGAGTCCTCGTAAACAAATGCACGCGGTATCTCCTTCGCTCTTTGAATGAAATCATGCAGCGATCACGTGATGGGTGTACCATTGCAGGGGCGTCCAAAGTTCAATCTTCAATCTGAATGCAGGTTAACATAGGTCCGAATGCAGTGAGTACACTGAAGTAACTGCGCGCTTTGTCCACTCCTTGCTGTCAGCTGTGGCGACGCGGGGCTTGCTTTGTTTACGCTGTCTCACATCTCCGCAAATGGACTGTAGATCTAGATAATATTATTCAGATGACAAACCCCCTATATTAGGGTGCTACAGTGTATACTGTAAAGATACACATGAGAATTAGATGTAAAATGACAATTTCCCTATCCAAATGGTTGTAATACCTGTATGTATGGATTGTTGAATGATAATAAAAATGAAATTAAATGAAAAAAAATATGTAAATAACTTGCATTTCTGTATTACAAGGTGACACCGGTACACCACGAACAAAATATACTGAACAAAAAACCATTCATGATTATTTGTAGCTGAAATAAGGTATTTTTCCACTTATTTATTTTATAAAAATCACACCCATTATCAGTGCCCAAGATCACGTTGTATTTCAGGATGGTGCTATGATCATGCAATATTTAATTTTCTTCTTAATATGGTGTATGTTTATCATCCTGAGTATCTTCAAATCCAACCCTTGGTTAAACAATTCCCTTTAGGCCTGATATTTGTGCATACGAAAAACAACATAATGGCAAAAACAACGTTCACTTAACCTGGATTTGCAAAATTCGAATGTCACTTAAATTTCGTTCATAAAACCAAAGCAAAGCTTTCAAATTAAGCATATGGAGGTAAAATTATGTAACTTTGTTAAGGTCTTCCGTCGCTGTCGAGTGAACTCTGAACTCAGGCACAAGCCGGTTCTCATAGATTTAGAAAATTCCATTAAGCCAAAGAGCCTACATTTGACAATTTTTCTCCATAACCACAAAATCTGAATATGTCTTCTCTTCTTCTTTCATATTCATGAAAAATACGTGTGAAATTAATCTATTCTAAACCACGCTATTGATTAAACTGAATCATGAAAGGCTAGTACATACCTTCTTAAGTAAAGTGCTGAATTCTTGTTTACCAGATAAATTAAATGTAAAACTTGTACAGTCGAATGCTTTTTTACCAATAATCCTACCGGCTAACAACATTTTAAATTTCGAATACTTTCGCTTTGTTATTTCACAAGATAAATTTAACTTCGTTCACGTGTATTCTGATGCAACTCCAAAGGCAATACCTTCTGCGCACATACACCACGCATTTTCTAGCACTTTCAAGCGCTGCGCAGGCTGATGTTTGAGCAGGAGAAAATGTTCCAATGAATGATTTGAGTATGCCAATTACTACTGAAATATTCATCCTTTACAAACACGAAAATTGTCATAAATCTAAATTACGTTTTGCCCAAGCTATTTATATATTATGGAACTGAACGATTAATATGAAGTGTTCAAATTTGTGGCTCAAAGAGATAGTTTCCATAGACAGCGCAGGACGGGTAAAATCTGATCTCACTGTTGGTTATACCGGTACGCTGAAGTGTACTGCCAAAGCTGCGGCTGTTAGCAGAAAGCTTTGAGAGCTAGTTGAATGGGATGAATTAAACGTGGATAGTACGTTTGCATCGTATATAATCCATTCGTCTGAAAGTTTCTGTTGCTGTGCATGTGGAGTTCTGTTGAGTGTGGAAATAGAAATCGAAGTATGATCCCAAATATTTTTGCGGGAAAGTTGTTACTGTCAAAGCAGTAAAGCTGAACGTGTAATACCCTGAGTAGTGATCAGAGTTAGTTTTTGTGACCCAATTTTATAACCAAGAAGTTATGAATTCTTACAATAGGCTAGATACGCGTGAATGGATCGGATTATGTTTTACAATCTCATAACTTCTTATACAGATCTTCGTCATTTTAGGAACTGACCTAGATACAGGCATTTCTATAAATGCTGCTGAAGATACGAAGTTTTCAACCAGTTTTCTTACTGGGGAACCTGATGAGTTGTTTTGAACCTTTTTTTCTTTTTTCTTTCATATGAAATTCATGTGTCAGTTATGACCAGCATTGACTGACAGTAATTCGGCCTGGTATACAGTTTAATATGTTATTATTTGACAGTTGTACTTGCATTTTTGCCTGTTACTGTTTGGAAATAATGTTTTTCGTAAACTCGTATAATACTGATTTAGAAATTTTGCCCAGTATGTGAATTAAGTTCAGAATTATTTATTGTGTCTGCGACACAAGTTACAGAATTAAATATAAGGAGTATATATGTAGACATTCCATGCCCCAGTTCTCTCCAGTTGTATATGTATTTGTATGCTGGTGATGAAATTTCCCATGTAACTCAACTGATGAAACTAATCTTCCAGTGCAAGCCAAAAGTGTGCTTATTTCAATGTGATAAGTGTGTAGTAAGAAATCATTTAGTGCCAGTTCTAATGTGCATACCTTTGAAATGGGAAGTATAAATATACAGTTAAAAGACTGTTGCATAGCATGCACACAAAACTGGAATAGAAACCTCAAATCTTACATAGAATATTCTTATACTGCAAGGCCCCCCATGTGTGAAAAATTTATTACTTTTAGATTACTACCAACTTCCATATGACCTGTCTTACATGTGTATCATTGCACACAAAATGTTTCCATATTTTCTGTTTTCATATGACATTTTCTGTAGAAATGTATGAGTCAGAGGTACTTATTGATGACTGTAGCATCTTCTTTGAAATTTTTAGAAAATAAAATGTTGGGATGAGAGTTCTCACAATATATTTTAAATAGTGTCTTTATTGGTGTGTTTGAAAGTGATTATATGCATATGTCACACACCATGTATATGTTAATATTAGACTACCGTAATGTTAGCACTACCATGATAGGTCACCAGGGTGTGCTTCCAGGTGGGAGTGCCTTTGTAACTAGTAATGTTAATCAATGTTGGCATCTCTGAGTACTGGTCTGACATGGGTATTTAGCCAGCAGCAGACGTGAGGAAACACAGGCAGCCAGAACTGAAGCTTAGTGGCAGAGAAAGTGTGGTCAGTATTCTAATGAGGAATTAATGCTTATTTCTTTTTTCCTAGGTTATTAAATGATGGTGCATTAACTGCTGAAATTATCATGAAAATGTGTTAATTTCTACATTGTCAACTGTCTGGATCAAAAGATGTCTCTATCTTCATGTGACATAAAAGGGTCTGTTGGCTCATGACATAAAACTATTCCTTATACTAGGCTAACCTAAGGTTATATATGCTTATCTGAAAAACACTAGATTTGTGTTACTGTAGCTGATACCTTGACAGTAGATGTAGCTTATTTTAAGGTATTAGATTGGCAGCATGTATTAGACATTTTCCATTGTCTTGTTTTAGTTAAACTAACGCAGCATTTCTGAAGTTGCTTCTTCTGTCATCAGGTATTTTGGAATATTTTGGAATATTAGCACTACATACAGTAGATAGAGACCAGTGAGGTGACACAGGTAACATATTTTTGTCATGTGGCCTCATGGGTCAGAACAGTTAAAGGACTCTCCACATCACATAAATTGTCTTAGACCTACCATACAATTCACCATGAAAGTGGGAATACATTAATGTTCTTATCTTAAATATCCTTGTCAGAAAAAGGGGGTTCAACTTTGCCCAGCCTGGGTTTTATCCCAGATCAATTCGTACAGGATTTGTGGTTCACAGTGCGTATAGGGTGGACTTTCTCTGATTACTTAAGTTTCCTTTGCCAATTCTCATTCCACCAACTGCTCCATATTCATTAATCATTCAATGCCCTGTAGTCTTCATACTGACTGTTAACTAACCAACTAAAAAACATTGTCCCCAAAATTGTACAGGAAGCCACCATTCTTCTGTTATCTTATACAGTGTGTGGGATTCCTTTAGTGTTAGTTTTTCATCATCTGTTGTTTTTGACCCAAGTGATTGCATTAGTTGTTATAGATTTTTTGTTAGTTTTAGCGGAATTTGGTGTTGATATACTTGTCCAGTTGGTATGTTGAATTTAATTACTTTTCTAGCATACGAAAATATTTTATTGGTTGGATCATTCTTGATTTTTGGTACTTGGACTCATAAAATAATTTTTATGAAAGTGGAATTTAAATTTGGGGAATGCTTACTGAAATTTGGTGTATAATTTGTCTTCCTGTCTATAACTAAAGATTAAAATGCACAAGTCTATAATTTACCTGAAGAAGAGTACTATGTATTCTGGGATGTGACACCATATAGTCTTGTATTCTGCCAGACTACAGGGCATAAGAACCCAAATAATGGTGCCCTTCAGAAGTACCATTGTGAGAACATGAGATTTTATATTTTACTAGTTTTCTTTTGA